CCTTGGCCTAGGTGTGCCTCCCCTGGGGCCTGAGGGGAGTAATTCAGAGTAATTCCTTTTTTTTCTTTGAAGTTACTCTCAAGTTATACTTATGCAATAGGTGCTAGAATCCTGTCCTCTATCTTTATAGGCTGAAACAAAGATTTAGGGGGAAATCGCTTATATTATTCATGCAAATATTGCCCTTGACTTCAGTAGGGCTACTGAGCAAACATGTCATGATTTTAGCCCAGATGTCATGATTTTAATTGGAGTATAAAATAAAGATTTTAGTGCACATTAATATTTTTTTTTCACATTTTAGAGCCAATAAAGATTATAAACCTGGAAATTCCTTACCAGCAGGGAGTGACACAGTTTACTTCACAGTAGTAGATGCTCAAGGCAGTGCCTGTTCCTTCATCAACAGCAACTATAAGGGCTTTGGCACAGGACTAGTACCAGATGGCTGTGGATTTGCTCTACAAGTAAGAATATATTTTCCAATGTAATAGTTTTAGCCTGCATGAAAACTAATTCAGAAGGCAGTTAGAGAGTATTGCTATGCACTACCCTATACATAAAATACAGACATTTTTAGGTGTATATTACTCTTGTTAAGTTTGGTCAACTCTGTCATACTTTATATAAACCAGAGATCAAATAACATTTCCTTGTTGGGATAGTTTTTTCATTTCTTTTTCCATGTTCTACATAGGATTTTGGGACCAGATGGGAGAGTTCTGGATAATATTACCGTGTGACTCAGTGTACAAGCTGATACAGAGGTGGAGATCTGCAGTCTTATTTGCCTCAAAGTTGGGGTGAAATTTGGCGATCCCCACATTTTAGCCATTTTTGATAAATTTTCATAGATTCATAGATTCATAGATTAAGGGTCGGAAGGGACCTAGTAGATCTTCTAGCCCGACCCCCCGCCAGGGCGGGAGAACAACAAAAAACCCCAAAAAGAGAAATGGGACTCAAACGAGTCCAGCCAGGTAGGCATCCAGCCTCTTCTTAAAGACCCCCAGGGTAGGGGCCAGCACCACTTCCCTTGGAAGTTGGTTCCAGCTCCTAGCCGCCCT